GGAAACACGACCAGCCATCCCCTGGACATCTCTGCATGACACCCTCCTGGCCCCTCAGACCCAGGTTTTCAAACATGAACACAGTGTGTCTTCCCCCCAAATCTGCCTTTCCTCACTTATGTAGGAATGGAACCACCATCCACCCTGATACCAGCCAGAAACACGGAATGGAGTTTTCCCCAGGATTTAGGGCAGAACCAAAGGGGATGCCCCAAGGAGGCTGCCTCTCTCCCCTGCAGGTCCACCAAGTGACTTTTACCCTGGAATCAATAAACCAGAACTAAGAAATCCAGATAGAGCAGTTCCTGGGAAACTCTCCAAATCCAGAACCCAAGCGTCCTGTGCCCAGACACACAAGTGCTGCCAGCCCTGAGCCTTTTCTTCTTGGGTCTCAGATCCCCACATTTTTACACTTAGACATAGAAATTCATTCCTCCTGGTTACCATCCAGGCTTGTGGCTCGACGAGTCCTTTTCTATCTTTTGGTGACTTTTCCAAATTCTTCTCTGATCCAGCTGTGTTGATATCACAGTCTAACAAAGCTCCCAGAGCTCTCCTGTGGCTCCCTTTCCTAGTGCATGCAGGGGGCCTCACTGACACCCTTACATCCGCCTGCCTCTCCCAGGCCAACAATGCCAGGACAGCCTGCCCTACCTCCTACTCCACCCCATCTCACAGTTCACTCCACTAACATCTGCTTGGATGGCTTCCTCAGCCCTGTCCTGCTCTGTCTACCTCCTATTTGGCCTCTGCCAACCTAGCCACCATCCCAAAGCCAGTGTGATCTTTCTACCTCACAAATCTGAGCTTGTCACTCCCTGGATTGAATCCCTTCAATGGTTCCCTATTGCACTCAGAATAAAGACTTTCGACATGGCCTACCAGGTCCTATGTGATCTGCCCCACCTTCTTCTAGCTTTGTCCTCTCCAGTCTGTTCTCCCTCTCACCACTCCAGAAGTATAGGGCTATGAGCACAGTCATGTACTAGACCTTGAGAAACAAATATTTGTTGAACAAATTAAATTCCTACACACTCGACGCTCTTTCTGTGCCTCTGTGCCTCTGTGCCTCTGCACAGAGGGCGTCCTCCACCCTTCCTTCCTTCCTTCCCTCCTTCCTTCCTTCCTTCTTTCCTTCCGTGGACTGCTGCAGCCAGATCTTTCAGGCTCACTTCAGCATCCCTTGCCTGGGTCCATGCGTCTGGAACACCGTGCTGTGTTATCCATCTCTCCTACAGACCGGCTCACTCTAGGGCTGGCTCTAGTCTTATTGCTCTAACCTTTGCCCTCAGAAGAGGGCCTGACCACAGGGTTGTTGATCAGCAAGTTGCATGAGAAAAGACAAATCTAATCCGGCTCCCAAAGACTGGGTTAGTTTTGGTGGAAAGAAGAGGATGAAGGAAGCAAATGCCTCAGAGTGTTTTGCAGGAAGAATCCCTCTACAGGGATTTAACACCTGACATCTGCCTGGCAGTTTGCAAAGTACCTATCTATACTTTATCTTTTTCAATCCTCTTCTAACCCAACAAGGTAAAAATGCTTATCTCCATACTGTTGATGAGGAAAGGGAAGCACAGAGCAGAAGCATAGTTCCATCAAAGTCTACTGAATAGAAATGAGCCAGAGCCCCAGACCGCAAGCCAGGGCTCCTCACTCCACAGCACAAGGTCAAGGGAACTGTCCCAGCGATGAGCGGGGCCAGGCAAGAGGCCTATTCAGTCTCAGAGGATCACCTTTCCTGGGCTTGGAGCTGGCATTCTCCACTCCTCCCCTGACAACAGTCCAGATTCTCAGGCCCCTCCCAACCTCAGGCCAACAACATGGCTGGGCACCTACTATGTGCAAAATCCTCTCTGGGCCCTAGAGTAGAAGAAGTGGGACCCTAGAAGAATAAGACATGACCCCACCTCAAGGGGACCCATTTTGAGAATTGAGGAGGATGATAGGTAGATGCTTCCAGGGCCCCGAGACTGCACCCAGAGACAAGAAGGGAGAAGTTAATCCTGATGGACAGCTCTGCCCTGCCCCCCACCACCACCCTTCTTTTCCTATTCCCACCATCGCTAGGCTAGGAATCAAACTTGCAGCCACTTTGTACAGACGGATCATGTGCTGCATGAAAAGGCACGAATCCTGTGCCCAGCCTTGACTCAGTTCCTGAGCTACTATGTGGACATAAGCAAATACCTTGCCTTTTCTGAACCTCATCTTTGTTTGGAAAAACAAGCCCTAGCCCTACCCTACTCATTTCTCAGGCTTAGGTGTGGATCTGACAGAGCAGAGGTGACAAAGCCTGGAGGAATGCAGAGGTGTCAGGCCCCTTGTGGTTCCCCAGGAAACTTTTCAGGCCCAAGAACAACCTCCCCTCCAGCCGTTGCCTGCTCTTCTCGGTGCCAAGGCTCTCCAGATTCTTGTGTTAGAGCCAAGAAGCCAGAGTTAAGCTGTGTTCCAAGCCCTCTATACACTCTCAAGGTAGGGGGGAAGGGTATCTGTGGAAAGGAGGGCAGCCAGCTCTGACATGGGGTAGGGGAGCAAGGTCCCTGTCCTAGAGAAGCCCATGGGCTGAGGACAAGCTTAGCTTTGGTGGAGGCAAGTAGTAGTGGAGGGATATGAGAGGCAAGGGACTGAAGGTCTCCCTAAATGCTTCTCACACTCTCATTAAGGTCAGATCTCAACCTTCCC